ATCACTTGAATTGCATGCATTCGATTCAGTAATGTGGCATGTTCAAAAATGCTACAGCTGTGCGCTTATATTTTCTACTTAGTAATTTTTGTCATAAATGCTAACAATTTCGAKACAGCCACGCCGACAAGTAGTTGCATAATAAAAGAGTTCATGACATATACATTAAAGATTTCAATGAATCGTGTCCATCAATTTTGAATTTGATACAACAGAAGTTGAAGCGAGCAGTTCTAGTCAATACCTTGTTCATCACCTTCTTCGTCGGCTTCTTCGTCGGCTTCTTCGTCGGCTTCTTCGTCACTGTCGACTCCGTCAACTGGTGGACCAGATTCATCTGTAACAATTATAAATGATAAAAATTAGTCTTTACCGAATGAACTTTGAACATCATTTTATAGCTGAAAACATTCATTCTTTCTTATAAATGTTTTATACGTGCATTTAAAATAAAGTTGAGAATAATTAAAACTAAGTATGAGTACGAATGTTGCATTTAATTCCATTTACCATATGCTTGAAACTGTGTGTATTCTGTACTAACCTTCATCAGCTAACTGCTGTCTTCCATTAACCATTGGCTCATCTAGAATGGGCAATAAAGCAAAAATCGATTACCAATCAGTGGATGAATTATCGATTATTATTTGCATATGYTAATGAGGYAACACACCCTAGAGARGGTCAGTCTGAGATAATGCATACAGTTTGGAAACGTATGACGTGGCCATGCTAACTTAGGAAATTTTAATCTTTAAGACTGAAAGCCCAATTTTGGAAGTCGCACATATTTTTTAAAATATTTCTACAGTTAGCAAATGAAAACTCATAATAAAATAAATAAAATAAAATGCACTTGGAAAGGCATAGTCCTTGGTCGATGTAGCTATAGGGAAGATAGATATTTGACTCCCGACCGTACACGTCATCAGTATCATCATCTCTTTTTGCAATAAAATCGATGACAAATTTTCAAACTTTTAAAAATGAGTTTCAAACCTTGGTAAAACTGAAACTGAAACTGAAACTGTTGGTGGTTGTGACAAGAAAACTTTTCGAACTTTTAAAAAGGAGTTTCAACCCTAAATTGTAGTGACACCTCATCAGTATTAACTCTCTTTTCGCGATCAATAAAAACATTTCAAACTTTTAAAAATGAGTCAAAGTTCAACTTTTAAGTTGTCGTGACGAAAAAACATTTCAAACTTTTTTGCCAAATTTATAAATGCCATTTAGTAATACCTCCATATGTTTCTTCCTCGGCTAAGCAAGGTACAGCCACCAGAGCTGTGAGAAACAGAACTGCTATCAAATAAATCTTCATGACTTCTTTGGCTTGCCCTGCTGAATAGATGCTATAAGTCCCTATACGATCCCTCTTTATACGCCTAGATGAAGCATCCGTGCATGCAAAAGGATGGAAGTGCGTCAGTCTTTTGAGGCGTTRGTAATGGGTTTTCTCAACTGAGCAGAACAAGTACGCAAGTTTTTCTATTTTGGGTTTATTAATGACGCTCCTTAAGATAACTTTTTGTTCCAAGCAATTCAGGCATTTTAGAATTAATGCTTGTATATATAATATTGATTTCACGAATTTTGTATAACTATGTTTCTAATAAACCGGCAACATCAAGTCATTGCGTGGCGAAGTCTGATATCTCAAAAGTAATTTTAATCTTTGAAAATATGCCGAGAAAAGCTTATTCTAAAACAGGGTTCAACTTTRTCAACAAATGTGGTCATTATTCCTAGTTTCTGATCTTATTTCTAAAAAAACTATCTTCAGTGGTACAGTTGTTTATTAGAAATAGCTTAAAAGATAGGTTAAATTACTCTTGCTCCTCATTCACTTTGTTCGTGATTAGCATTCCAATCTTAAGTTATTAAGTTATCAACGACTCAATTATTATTCGCCAACTCATAGCCCACTTCAACCTTCTTTAGAAATATCGTAGCAAAACAATTACTACAATTGCAGCAGCCCTGAAGCAACAATAACAATTACAGAAAGAAAAACATAGAAACGGAGAGTATGTACTTGATACTATGAACATTTTAATAGTGTAATTTTCTACTTGTTGCTCTTACTAAATGATATTAAATTTTGATCCATTTTTTAATGAAATAGCTGATGCATGTATTTTAAATTAAACTACATTACAGAGGCATTAAGTTGCACTTCATGGTCCAAGGAAGMCTTTTTTGGATCTTTTGAAAGCACTTGTGTTGTTCCTTTTCAGTGAATACTGAATTTTAAACTTTAAATTCTTGCACGAAAATTCAAATTGTCAAACAMCCTCGATTAGTACTAGAYTTAGAGACATAAGTTATAAATCATGGTCCAAGGAAACCTTTATTTTTGGATCTTTTGAAGCAATGATACTGAATTTTAAACTATAAATTCCTGCACGAAAGGGCAAACACATTATTCACACCTAATTTTTCATTCATATAATCTAAACCATATAGATTTTAACAATATTTGCCGTACTTTTATATAAAGGATCACATATGAATTGATTGTTATTGAGTTTTTCGTAGTAGTAGATGAAAATATTCAAATGTTAACCTGTTTTTAAGGATATCAAGCGTGTAAAATTTGATTTAAGTTCTATTTACGATTTTTAGTGACGAAATTACTAGGACGATAGGACAAGATTCGGCCTTGTCCGTTTATTGAGAATCCGATTTAAAACGAAATTTTCAACACGGTCAATGATGTTTTATTGGTTGAAAGTTGGATCACTTATCACGAATTAGGGATCATTTTTCTATCATTGATCAGGGATCAAAGCTTTGATAAGTTTAAAGGAATAGTAGTGTTAGGGAATCATGTCTTGCAGTATTACTGCATCTTTGGTGCCGGGGAGTTAGGAAAAAAACATAGTTTTTTTTTGTTACCAATTCAATTTGTATGCTGAAAGCGGTGGAGAGGTTGGCCTAAAAAATATATTTTCTAATATTCTGAAGTACTTATATAATTTATAGTAACAKAATAAAGAAATGTAATRTAAAATTATAAATAAATGACCTTCAAGTGGACTGACAGAGTAGAATTAATTTTTGTAGTAGGTATTATGTTTTTTTTATATTCCTTATTTGTATTTGTTGTATTATTATTTGTTTTCTTTATTAAAAAAAGGAAAAAAAAAACATAGTTAATAGAAAGGACTATAGAAAAAAACCCAATGGATCGAAATGGATCGTGACAAAACCTCTACACGCAGTCATGAAAATYATAAATGACGCATTTTTGCAGTTCAAATCATGTTTCAAATTAAAAGATTGATTTCGCCTCCGCACTCTCGCACTCGACTCATTGCATCTCTTAAAACGCGGGGGAGGTGAATTTGCGTAATGCAGCAGACGTCAGAATAATACGCTAAGTCGYGCGCAAAGTTTTTCAAAGTTAGTTCAACTTTATTGAATGCTAGCTGTAGAATAGTGTTGAACAATGTTGAATGGCAGGTGCGCAAACTATTTCAACATTTTCTTGAACAGTTTTTCAAGTTGAAAAGCATTTTCAACGCATTTGTGTGGAGCTTTYAACATGTTTCAACGRCAACTTGAGCGGAAACTGCAGTGCGCAGTTGCTTGCTCTAAACTCTGCGCAAATRTCTTCAAAATCATTGAGGACTTTTTGGATACTGTTGAACAAATTAAATCGCTTTTAAATTGATTCAACGATAGTTCCAGAACGTATTGAAAGGCCCGTGCAAACGCGAATTTCATTGAATCATAGAGCATGCAAAACAAACCATGCATCCRTGTATTTTATTTATAATATACGGACAAGCTGCATAAGAGTAATTATATTTCTATGAACAAACTCTCAAGTAGAGCACTTTAAGCAGATTTTACAACTAACAGTGTATAAAAACTATTAACAGAAATTTCGTGGCTTGACTATGAAGCCGTGACGTACGTGACTTTCAATGGTTTCCGTGGCGTCAATATACAATGTGAGGCTACGTGACCGTAACTACTAATYATCAATRCCGTCGGTTCTGTGTCTCTATAGTCAGCCTTAAGATTACTCACTGCATGCACGCTTATCGAATATACCTGCATTTATAATGACTTAAAATATGCAATCGTTAAATATTACTTACTTTAAATGTTTACTTTTTGTTATTAG